ACGGCCTGATTCACGAATAACAGAGAACAAACCCCTCGTGGGGGAGAAAGATAGGGTGTGTAGCCTTTGCTTAGGTAAAGTTTGCTTGTTACGAAATTCTGTAACGGCAACCCAGTCACGGTCGTGAATAAAATGCGAACTGCAACTCGGGTGCTAATGCCAAGATAAAAACGGTCAATGGACGCGGATTTCGCAAAGAGCGAAGTGAACGCGTCGCAGCCGTCGGATGAAAAGAAAATAGAGGACGAATGTTGACATCTCGATCCTGTTTAATTAAACAGCGAATTCCCGGAAGTTCCTCTTCGCAACTCTCCGCGGTCTCATGACGGAGCTTTTCTTTGAGGGCAGAAAATTCAATAAAATTATATAAATAAATATATGCGAAAGGAACTCCTTATTTTATGTCTCGAAACTCCTGGCAGAAGAAATTTCACGCGGCTCTAGAGGGTGGGTAGGGAAACGAGTGCTGGTAGGTGGAAGCAGTGTACACGGTGATCCATTAACTAGGTAACCACTATTTTGAATACGATGATAAACGTGGTAATTAATTTGTGTTTGATATAGCAGAGTAATCGAATTTGTAGTAGAAAACTTCAACGATTGAGCTCAAATAAAGAAAAACAAAAAGTAATACACAATACTTAATCTAACATTTGTCATTGTACTCATTTCAGTAACCTCGTCAAATTTACGAATCCAACTCAGACTTACTTTCCTCCCTAAGTCATCATCAAAATTAATTTCTTTAGTTCTCCACTGAAAATCTCTGTCGTCCTCATACAACTATCGTGGTAGTTAACGTGTTAATGCGCCAACGTTTCGGCAAATGGCGTAATACCAATTATGTTATTTATTCAATTTTCATCAAGCCCAGCAAACCCTGCCGCCAAATACCTTATTATTAAACCATGTCCCCGGAATCCATGCGTAGACGATAGGGCATTCGACGACGTTCTCCGTGTTTCCGTAGACGTTCCGCCTGAAAATTAATTTCTCGGGCAATAATGTCTGACCCCGGGGTGAGCGCAGGATACCATGAAAAATATACATCGCGTGTTACGAGCGCAGAGGTTGCGACGAAATTCACGCTAAGGGCGGCAATGTTGAAGAGAAACGCAGAGGTGAAACACAGATGAAAACAGAGGACAAGAAGAACGGGAGAAACCCGTAGCGTGAATCGCAGCGACTCACCAGAATTGGATCAGTTGAATTATACCTGTATAATTCATTAGCGTCTCACTCGGCGAGACAATAAGTGGATTACCATATACATTGTGGCAGACAGTAGACGACAGTTTCGTGTGTTTTTGTCTGGTGCAAGTGTATCGTGCGTGCGCGTACAACGGTCCAATGTTTTCTATTGTTCTTGGGGAAACTGAATCGCCTGCACGAGAAGTGTGATTATTTCATCAATCAGTTGTTCTCAAAATTGAGTCATTGCTCTCGGGTGCTCCACGATTGGTATCGATTATTCGATCGGTATCGGCGCAAATTGGTTTTGTTCCGCGACATGAAACCACGCGCCGATCCGAGGCCTTGCATTTCGGTTAGAATAGACAGAAATTCACGAGGATATTATGGAAGCCTTTGCTTTGAGTTAATTTTTCTTGTATATTTTTATTCAGGAGTAACTGAGAAAGCGTAACAGGTCTCGCAATCATCATGCATGGATAACTCTTTACGTGTGTATTTTTTTACTTGAGATGAACGTTTAGAAAACAGCATTGTATGTCATAGTGGTGTTCAAACAATCCACAAACACGAACAAGTGGAACGATTATCGGTAAATCCTGACATTTTGTCTAACCAAATGAACGTCACGCGGATTTACACGTGAATCCTTCTAATTTAGCTTAACTGGGAATTACAGAAGGGAATTATTATCGTGGTCGGTATTTCGTTACGGAAGCTCGAAATACTGTTTATACAGGGTGTGTCTAAAAAAGAAGAAGAAGAAGAATGAATTAGGAAGAAAGAAGATGCTATGACCTTAAAATGGATTTCAAATGGATTTCAATTTTTACAAGCAGTATTTTCGACCTTTCTTCAATTGATCCATCGAGAAAGAATACCTACGTGACATATTAATATTACTGCAAAATTATATTCTCGATCATTGTTTAATAATAAGTATTGTTCATAATTAATGTAACTATTGTCAGAAATTAATTTTTAGTTATTCCAGCTAACAGATATAATGGTATAGAAAAATTTCTCACAATAACAGTGCTCGATGAATACTTATTCTGAACAATGATGGATATTAATAGTTAATCGAAGACTGAATGTTACAGTATGCATTGTAAATATTTCATTAATTTGGAAATGTACATATTTAATGTACATATTTGTTCGATTCTTTTGTTTGTTCGTAGGTCTATATTGGACTCGCAACTCCGTTCTCCATTTCGGTTACTATTACTTGATGTGATAAGTGTAGTGGTCAACCATGTGACTGGCCGAAGTCGGTCGCCGTCCTCTAGTGGGTCTGATTTGAGAGAGGGTCATTCGACGCCTCCGAGGAATCTTCTACTCTCTGTACGCGTCAGGCGAAGTCCAGGCTCCTGACGCAGCGCAGCTCAAAAGAGCCGTCAGACGGATGCAAGTCGTGTCCTGGACTCCTGACGTTGTGCAGAGAGTAGAACTCCGTTTCGAGACTCTACGACCGTCAGACATAGCTGGTGTCGCCAGGGCAGGGCAACCCGACGCGGTGCTACCTACGTCGTACACTGTAAGGTCGGATCCGGGCCCTCGGCAGCAGGTATGCAGGGAGTAGAGTACTGGCGGAGACGTTGATCGTCTTTCTCTCGAATCAGGCCCACCAGCGGAAACGGAATTGACTCTGTAAGTCCAGTTACGTGGTCGCGTTATGTCGCGATTTCCATTTAGCTTCCATTTAGTTCAAATAAGTATTTGACAGAGTCAGACTTAGACTTTGGAAATCAAAGGAACTTTGTCTTCTTTGATTTTCACGGTTTCGTACTTAGTATTAAGTTCGTTGACTCTATGTAGAGTATGCATCTACGTATGTATACTCTATGTAGAGGGAGATCGAAGGAAGTTTGATTCCTTCTATCTCCGGGTCTCCAGTCGTAGCAACCTCCACGTGGTGAGATCTGGTAATCGGTATTATTCGCGACGAAAGCTTGTCGAACGATGCTTCGTCGTGAGTAATAACGAGCTAATGGCTGCGAATTTGTAAAAAGATCTTTAGATTTAGATTTATATTAGCAGGGACAACACCAAGGAGCCGTGGCCGGTACTAGACCAAGGAGTAAGGAGTTTACAAAATTCCATTTTCTGCAGAAAAGTGTATGCGGGTAAAATTGGGAAGACTATTAATACACGCATCAAAGAACATCAAATGCCATTGCGAAGTATGCATATACCGTGGGGGTTAGAATCACGTGGATGCGTGTTTCGCGTCGCGACGAGAGGCGTCGGCGTAAATTCTTCCGTAAGTGCAGTGTAAACAATTCCGTGGACCACTTCCTAGGTGAACCAGTCGAGTCTGAAGCAACGGCGAACGCGAAAGTTGAGCAAGTGTTTACAGTGGAAGTGAACTGCGGCAAGGAAAACGCGAGTGCGGATATTCGCGAATGGGAGCCAACGAAAAGGGTAGGAGAGAGTACGGTCGAGCCGTCCCTCAAGTTATTCACAGGTGGAGAATGTCGAAGGGTCTTCGGGCTCCTCTATGTAACCCTGGATGAACTCCGACGAAGAGGAGGTAATTTTGTTAAGGGTTACTCGAGAGCATTCACGCAATTCTGGGTATGAATTAATTAAAGTACATATTACAACTATCGACACGATCTTTGATAATCGTTGCTGTGAAATTGTGAGTACTGTTTCGTGTTTATTTATACGTGCGAACTGCTCCTCAAATTTAATCAAAAAAATGCTATTATAAAAGTAGAAACTAAAGTGCTATTATGCAAATCTGACATCAAATTAATTAGAATTATAACATTGAAGAATACTGAGTACAGACAATACTGAAGATACCTCAAAGACTCCAATGTAAAATATTATATAATAAATTGCTTAGGCCTCCTAATGATTCACGAAATTGTTTTATTAATCTTATTCCATTGTTTAGTATCCCAAAAAAGAATCATGAATTCATTTCTCTATACCTGTAACTATAATCACATTAAATTAGTAATATTCCCGATGCATAGAACTAAACGTTGTTCTATATTTCCTCATAACCAAGTATTAAATTAATTCCAGTCCAGGTGTTCCTTGAATCGTGCATATTGAACATAACAAATGTTACTAAAATTGCAATATACGTTATCATTTAAAAGAAACTCCCGGAGAAATGCGTTTTGTTATCGATTTTAAACGCGTCAGAAATGGCCAAACTTTAACCAGTAATAAATCCGATTTTCCTGGAACAACCTTGAAATTGGCTGGAACTTCGGTTAGAACTTTCGACGGTGTAACCTTAGGATGCAATTCCACTCCTGAAACGGTGGTTATTCGTAACCGCGGCGGGTTAATTGCATCCGATGCAACGTTCAATTTCCTAGCTCTGAGCTCGCGGCGCGTCAGAGCCTCGTAAACTTTATGGTTCAAATTAAGAAACCTTATGAAGAAACGCTGTCAGCGGCGGTGTCAAAAAGTTTTCTCACTTTTCGAACGAGCTTGTCGCTCCTCCACTGGAAACTTTCTGAAAGCGAACGTGTGAGTAGACTTTAATCTGTTTTTCACTATCTCGGATCAGAACCGCTGCATGCTGTACCCTATTCTTATATTCTCGTGGCAGTTAGCAATTTTCTCGCGACGGGATTCGATTAGAATAACAAGCAATTCTTTTTATCGTGGATTTTGTTAAATAAATGTAGTCTTACAGGATGACGAAAGTCATATTTTTAGATTATACAGGCTGATTAATCACACTATTGGTTATTTATATTAGTATTCAGGGCGATTTGTTTAAGGCGGAAGAGTTCAATATTTCATGAGAAGTATCTCGTGATAACTGTAATAAATACCTGTAATTTGAATGTCTTCGGTAATTAGCCGTAGATTCGTCTACGTTAAGTTTGTATGACTTACCTGAAACAGAAAAAAAAAACAGTCGAGTTAGTCCAAATTTTGTATAGAACCATTACATGATTTTCTCCGCCCTTCCAGTTTATAATAACAGACACTTTTTACTATCAACGTATTTACGTACAACTCTGAATAAAGAATTTCATAAAAAATTGTCCTCTAATTTAATACTACTTAGCTTCGTTATAAAATGAACTCGGACCTTACAAAATAAATAAAAACTGGATATCAAAGGATGCAGACAAAGGCATCTACGTTTTCTCTCTCATCCATACTAAATAATTTAAGCTGCGAAAGATTGAATAAAAATGGGATTTAAATAATTTAACTCCAAATGGACGCAAAGTAAATGAAAATATTCAAGTTCGGAATGCTATCTCATTTCTCAGGCAATGAAAATGATCGAAATCCCGTTTATATTCGTATAATAACATACGCAAAATGTGGTTCCCACCCGACAAAAAATTAATCGTCTTAAGCCCAGAACTGGGTCGTTCGAGCTCTCGAGTCTTCTCGACACGTTAATGCCGTAAAAAAAACCGGACAGTGATTCCTGAATTTAATTCATGCAGAAAGGGTGGCTCGATATCTTGAAATTCACGAGCCATCGCCGTGAGCAAATCTTTGGAATTAGCGGATTAGCCGCGCAATGCCAATCTATCGTTTTACGAGCTGACGTGATCGCAATAAAACTTCTTCATCTACTCGCAACGAATCGGCGATAAATCGTGGTGACATTAGAATTTCTTTTCCGTTAGAATGATGGCCACCCAAAAAAGAAAACTGGAAACAAGCGAAGGATGTCGAAGGTTCAAGTGAAACATTATTGAGCATATGTGGGGCTCGTTCGTTTAAAATATATAGCGAATATAAATTAATTAGGACTTTATATTAAAAATAAATGTAAGTACAATTGCGTCTTTAAGGTTGGATGTGTAAAAAAGTATATCCAAATCTAGTTCATATCAACATGATATGAAAGAAAAACAAAGTACATACACAGTTACAACGGAAATGGAACGAAAGTACATGAAATAAGATGATAAATTACGAAAATATAAATGAATGTTCTATTATGACAATCTGTTCTCAAATGTGAATCAACTAGAGTCTCGTTAAATTATAGAGAACTGAGGCCGTTCTTCAAATGTAATTATGAATAAAGTAGATGCGCTGGAGAAACCACAATTTAGATCTCAACGTGGCTCAATCTTTCTATAGTTAAAAAGCTCGACGCTGTCTGCATAGCGTTGTGCATAACTGGTTGCGCATAAAACGCGTTGTAAACCAATAAAATTACTTCGTGTCGCTGTGAATTGCATGGCAAGAAGGATATTACGCGTTTACACCGGCGAATAGTGAGAGTTAATTGGTGAAGTTCCAGCAGTTCCCTCTTGAAACGAAAGATTAATTATGATTCCGTTGGAGTGAAAGACGAAAGCTGTTCTTCCGGAAAAAATTTGAGCAATTCCGTAGAAATTAACGACCAAACGTGAAAAGGAATTCGCAACAGTCTCCGTAACCGCGGACACGGATTCGATGGACGAAAAATTCCCGATCGAGTTCAAACTTTTTCTCGTGGCGGACGTGGTACAGGTTCGTTCAGAAAATTCGAAAGTCCATGGAGTCAGACAGCAGAATCTCATTACAAGTTGAAATGGACTTTCAAGTTCTCAGTTGACTTACACTTAGACACTTCGAAGGTTTGGATCAAAATTTTTATCGATTTAAATTTTTGTCACTGGACAAGAGTGTAACGTACAATATTTTCATGGAGATTTTTTAATTACGTAAAATTATTTGCTACGGTTGTAGCCGTTATAATTCTAAGACTTTTAAGTGAACTTTGCACACATTTTTGTAAGCTTGAAGAGACCATGTGTTATTTGACTAAACGATGGTGTATGAATACAAACTAAATGTAAAGTGACAAATACGTATGCATATGTTATTACATTTTTCAGTTTGAACAAATCTATGGTAATTTGCTATTACATGTACCAACAGTCTGAAAGGGGCTGGAATAACTTGTCGAGACTACAATTACGTCAAATTACTTTTATATAGTACGAACAAGATATTATACAATATTTGAAAAATATTTAAAAATTACTTCTTGATTAGTAAATAGCGGGTCCAAAAATCTCTCATAACACAACAGATAGGGACATAATTCAATTCGAAGTGAAATCACGAACTGTATGAAAACAGAAAACTCTTTTCTACAAGTCACAAAAATACAGTCAACTGAAAACTTCGATTAGTAAACCGTAAGGTTCATCCAACAGAATATTTTTAATTCTGTACCTGGTATTGTATCTGGTTTGTACAATAGTGGTCTGCATCTGGTTATCAACGCTAGTCGATTAATTATGCATGAATTCTTAGTGACAATCTTAACACAAAAACTAAAATAGGGGAAATTCTCAAAGAAGACAGATGTACGCTTGGATGCGTGCCTATCTTTGACGAGTAGACAACGACTAGACAGGCCGACATGATTTATTATACTCCTAAACGCAAAACACGCATGGGCCCTGGCCAACCGACAACATTACTTGCAAAGCCTAATACCTGAACAAAAATAGTTGCACTAACGAGACACGAAAGGTGTTCTTTATTATGAGCTATTAAAATCAGATGAAACAAGAACGGCGAATCTTCATCGATCATGACGTCAATAGTTAAATTATTTTGTCCATTAATTGGATAAGTATATTAATCAAACGCTAGTTGTAGACACATTAGTCATAGCTTAATTCCTATAAAGAAAAACATTCAAGAGTTCCGAAATCCTAATGGAATTTAAAATTTTTTTTCTTCTAAAGTAACCGTCGTTGATAATGTGCAAATAGATTCTTCATCTCAAAAATTGAGGAGGAACCCATAAAGCCAAACCTCCTACAAATCCTAAAGAACGTTTGATTACGATATACGTAATTCGATTTCCCAATAATACGTACATACACGAAAACATTACTGTTACGTAGGTATAAGTAGTACGCGAAAGTGTACAAAATGTTAACCATTAATTATTTCAAAACGCATCTTCGTAACTTTGCCTTTTAAAGTTCCCCGTTAGAAAACGTTCGAAACAACTTTAAATTAAAAAACTTTCTCGCTTCCCGTCGATGAAATTTTCTGAATTAGCGTACTACTAAACTATATTGACAAAAATAATTAACGGTACACATACATGTCTAACTGACCTAGAAATTTTTAATAAACTATTCAATACTCTGTAAATATCAGCTGCATAACATAAATGTATAGAAAAAGTAATATAGTGATACTTGTTGTTGATTTATTCTCAAATTTTTGAAAGGATGTACATTTGGATAGCAGTGGTATTAAAGTACACTTATTCCAATTGGTTTTCACAGTGCAGTAGAAATTCGAATATTGCTAGTAAATAGAGTTCAATATTGCTGGAATGATCGAAGTTCTCGTAATAATCAAGATAACCAATCCAATAAAGAGCCTCGCATATATCGCATACCTTCATCACTTATGGTCACTACCACTAGTTACTTCCCTCTTCAATTTGACACGTTGCTAAGTGACCAACCCCTCCACTTGCAAAGTGGCAGCTCTCGTGCAATAAGTGAGGTTGTTGTGTATTCGCTCGCTGAAGCTGCGTTAAAACACTATTTAGTGTTTGTTTACCATCGAAACACCGAACTGAATTTGAATAAAAATGGTACAAAGTGGATCAGTATGTACATCAGCAACTGAATATTTCGAATATTATTAAATTTAGGTTAAATGAATATTTAACCTAAGGTTAATAGGTTAAATGTATACATTCATAATAAAGTGTTTGTGACTCTTTCTCTTTTACCTTTGAACAAAGAATAGTAAGAAAGGAATATTTCTGTGATAATAAAAGCAATAAAATATTATTGAAAATTTATGTTCAGTGATTAGATTTTCCTGTTCTATTGTTCATACTAAGTTATTTTTGTCTTTGTTTAATTACTCTCACCTTGGAGATATGCAATTATACAGTCTGTAATAAATTATTTCCCTGGTCAATTCTGTTTCTAAACATTTTTTCAAAATTCTTAGTGAAAAATTCTGTCACTCATATATGGCGGTCAACGTGAAAGGTGACAAATACGACACATTTACACACAGAAATACCACAATATTCCAATAATATTGTTCACTGTCTTCTTAGAAGTAACGGCTCCCCATTTGTTTTATATCTTCCACGGCTCTGAAGAAATACTGTATGACCAACCAGGGAGCCATATGGCCACCGTTGAAGATCCCTGATCTAATTGATATTCCGTCGCCCGCTGTCGATTTTAAGAACGACTGAAATTCAGCGAAGATCCCGACGACTCCGTGGCGTATCGATCACCAACCCACTCCCCCGCGGAAGTAAGAACTTTCAATCGACAGCGCGACTTTCAATTCGCCGTTACTTATCCACGGAACAATTACCAGGCGGCCTGTTTTACGGTCGTTCGTATTCCGTCCGCGCGCTGTACGCTGAAGGTTTAATTTTTTCCAAAGCAACGCAGCGTCCGACGTGTCTCCGCCGGGTTCGACTGAATTATTAAAAGTACTCCCGGGGATTCCCAAGTAGCTCGCCCGCTGGAGCGGCAAAAAGGTGGATGATCGCAATCACGTCGCCCTGCGAAGTAGATCGCGAACGATCCACGCGCGACACGTTCGAATCCTCGATTCGTCGATCCGACACAGTGGAAGCTTGTTTAACCGAATAGATTAGGGGACAAAGCAGTGACGGATAACAGAGTAATTCTGATAGTAGGTAGTAGTATTGGTAGTGCTATAGCTATGCTCCGCAGTGTATATCTGAGCCTGCGACTAATTCTGTTCCATAAAGTGCGGATAAATAAATTTACTGTAATTAGATTACAGGAATGACGGAGCTTGGTCACTGACTGCGGACGCCCTGAAAAAATTAGACAGCTGAGGAAGGATCCCGATTTTCGCTGCTGCAAAATGCATAATACACGGATCCGTCATCCCTT